GTTATGAGTATGCTCGATAGCATGTATACTCATTATATAATGTTGTGTTTGTTGCGGTCTTAACAGGACAGGTGTGAAGGTGAGATGTGATGTGTAGAGCATTCATAGTGCACGTAATACAGTGGTGCCCTCGATAGTCCTCGCTGGGATGCGGTTTACGTAGCATTACAGTATTGGAGTTCTCGAGCGAAGCAGACTGGGGAGCGCATATGGGAGAACTCACGCCAATGTTCTCTCGATAGACGATTGACTAGTCTCAAAAATATATGAGTGCAAATAAGACACCACTAATGTCTCCTTATGTCGTTTAAGCTCATTACGAGTGTCGCATCCACTCCAGCTATAGAGTGCGCAGATACAGAGATTGGCGGCGCAATATAGAAGGTTGACTGAACTTCTTGTCTAATGAGGAAGGCGCGACACTCCAAACTGATACACCAAGTCACGTTCGATCTAGGGGAGTGCGAGGACATACTAGACATTCGCAGATCGGATACCGAGACTGATTGAGTCAGGTGCAGCCGGTCATCGCTGTCGCTTTACTTTGAGGCGTTTCAAAAAAGCAATGATAGGCAGGACCTGCCTGGCAAGAGTAATAAGCAAAACCTGCTCACGAACTTAGTATATTCCACGCGATAATATCCGCCAATGCCCATGCACCTGTTTGGCTTCCGCCGGATGATTAGCTGCTGTCAAAATCTATGAACTGTATATTCTAGAGATGCTGGAAGTGTGATGCAGGTGTTCTGGCCAGAGATGGCACAAATGAAGGGTAAGTTCACATACGCGGAGGCAAGTCAGGCAGAATTGATACTTGGGTTGGCCCGGCTAAGCAGGGAGCCGGGCAATCTCGGCTGGAGTTGCGGCTGATGGGAATGGCCAATAAGAAGTGCGCGGGGGTGGGAGGGAGATTGGTGTGAATGTGCCGGTGGGAGTGTCTGTCTGGCCGGTGGTGCGTGCTTGCAGGCATGTGAGTGAACCTGGCGTCCAGGACTTTTGGTAGAAGTTTTCAGAGTTATGTATCCAAGGCAGGGTACAAACAGAGGTAGGCAGGAAGTACGGTACGGGGTGTTTTCGGGCCGAGTCAAGTTCTCGAGCATGCATCATCTTTGCGCATCCCGAGGCAGAGGCTGTGGCCACCCTCCTTTTCTTTTGCATCCTTCCTTTTAATTAATTAGAAAATTCTGTAATAATTTTATTTGTTTATTATTTGGGACTGTAATATTTTATTTGTTTATTATTTTGGGACTGTAATATTCATTTGGACCCTCTGAGTGAGGGTAAATATGTAATAAGTGTGGGTGAGTGTGTGTATGTCTTCCAATCCCCATTTCTTTCTTCCCTTTTATTTACCTGCTTATGATGGTAGATTAGGGCATTTTTTTGAAATTAGCATACCTTATGCTGTGCATGCGTGCATTCATTAGTATTACATGCATTAGGCTTGGTACATCACGCTAACTGCATTTGTACTTCAAATTCTAAACTGAATATGTGATAGTTGCGCATTCTTACATGCCATGTTTAGGATAGCCGAGCCTATTCTAGATTGCATTTTTGCATGCGATGCATTAGGCACTTAACATGAACTAGGACACGCACATTTTGCTAACTAGTTTACTGTTTTGGCACGGAGTACTAGGTAAGCTTTTATGCTTTAGCATATCGCATGCGTGTGAATGTTGCCATGATAGCATGATTACCATGAGGCTAGCTGCTTATGTGACATAACTCCTTGAATGCCTGTGGATGGAGGTTGAATTACCTAAATTGGAATAATACATTAAAACTGTGAGTTTTAAGCCCACTAGATAGTGGCAAAATCATCTTTTCTAAAAACCCACTTGAGGGTGGCAAAATCCGCATTTTAGCCTACTTGCGAGTAGCAAACCAATTTCAAAACAAACATGAAATGTTTTATTTCCAATTTGGGCGATTTGGTCTATACTTGTCTGCTGCGCGCACAACATAGTAATTCTAGGCTAATAACCGGCTTGAGAACACATAACGCTTTCAAAATTGGATATCATGATTAGTAGAGGCCGGTTTTCGAACCGGGCGAAAGGGGGTGCTCATAGCTGACCTTCCCCGATCGTACCCAAGCTCCCGAGCCGAGACAACTCCGGTGATGACGGACATGTGGCCTTCGGCACCGAGTCAAGGTTTCCTAAATTTCCCTATTTTTTAAAATATTTAGGTGGCGACTCTGTATCTGGCAAAGCAGTCCATGTTTGGCACTACTTTTCAAAAAAAATCTATTTTCTCAAACGATTTGCCAGATTTGGACTCTTTGGTTCAGATTTAGAACCGTGACACAAATCGAGAGCGCCGAACTGTAGCTGGGTCCCCTCGCGGGCGTGCTACAATAAGCTAAACCAAACACATCAAAATAACTTAAATTAAGCTGAAAGCTGAAATAAGCAGCTTTTAAGCTGCACCAAACAGGCGCATAGGCTTGATTAAGTTGGGCTAATTAAGCTTGGTTAAACTTAGTTAATTCTAATCCATTTATTCTAATTATTTGATTCTAAAGTGAATTCCAATTAAACTTCCCATAAAATTCTAAAAATCTCAAATAACACATTGTCTTAGTCAATTTCATGTCCAGATGCCGATAAGGCCTTCAATTTTCACATCGAAATAGAATTTCAGACAGATATTCCTACAATAGACAAATAAAGACACAAATAGCATGCAAAACACACAATTAACACATAATTTCACTTAACCACTTAATTAATATTCTTAATTATGAATTAATGGCTAATTTTTAAACCGAGGTTGTCACAACAATGCTACACAGTTTTCCAGTCAATTTGATCTTTCCTAGATGATTCCCATTCCACCTTATTGGTTTTAGAATGATACCTTCAAAGGCCAATTTGTTCTGAGCACAGCAGACATCGAGGCAGTCAGCTATGTATTTCCTACTTTGAAATGAAACTTTCAACTCAAGGCCTTCGACGAAGTTCTTGACACTACTATTGAGTTTGACGTCTGGTAGGGCATGTATATCGTGAACAAAACCTCCATTGACCTGAAGGCTTTCTTGGTTCGTATCCCCAAACAGGATTGCCAAAATTGAAGAAATAACGAATCAATTCCCCCAAGCCCTACCCCTCTTAGAGGACAAGAAAAGGTGTCCCTTCCTTCTCTGAACGTTTCAATTCAGTCCTTCTCTTTGAGAAAATTTTCAAGTGTAAATAGAATCCTTTGAAAAAAAAAGAGAAAAAAAAAACTAAGGAAGAAAAACTAACTGAAATTGCCAAAAGGTATCAAGATAAGGCAATTTTAGCTTTCCTTATAAAACCCTAGGTGCCAAAACTCCCGCTTTAGAAACTTTCCTGAAACCCTGTGGCAAAAACATTCCTTCATTTCCTAATACATCCTCTGTCTTTGCTGACACTCTTCATAAGGAAGGGATGGATGCCTTCCTTCCTGAAAAGGAAAAGGTTACCATTACAAAGACTAGTGTTCCTCCTTAGGAAACTGAGGATGCTATATACAAAGAATAATCAAAACAATCCTTATCCCAAGTTCAGATCTGTCTTTTTTATTTTTATTTTTCCCATTCTGTGCTATGCTTACTATTGACACTCCGTTTTTGGACTTGCAGTTACTGTACCTACCTCCTCATATGCTCCAACAAAAACCGGCAAGAAAAGCTCTCTAAGCAGAAAAGAAAGTTTTCTTCCCAGATCTGAACAGGTATGTCTAGAATTTACCATTCATTTCTGGAATATGACAATCCCAATTTTCTCATTAACTAAACTTGCGTCTTCTAGGAAGGTGCTACCCCACTTGCCAAGAGAACCAGATCCACCTACAAAGCGAACATTGCAACTAGTCCCTCCAGTTCTTCCTCTCTAAAGGTAGAAATTTTCTATTATTCCTGATTTCATTTTCTTTGACCTTCTACTGAGCCTTCCTTTTATTTGAGAAATCCCCTGAAGTTGTTATAACTAAGGTAACCAAAGCTCCCTCCAAAACCATTCCAACTCCATCAAAGCCAAAGCAATTCAAAATGGTCACTTGCAAAGGCAACACTCCACTGGTAGATTCTTCTAACTCTGCTTCTACCCCTCAGGTGGAGGATAATCCTCCTGAGATCATATCTCCTCCTTCTGTCAACAAAGTAAAACTTTATCTCCAACACTAAGCTTCTTTTCTTGAAGTTCCTTAGGCCTCTTTTTTACTTGTAACTTCCTTTGTTTTAGGATAAAACCCAAGAGACTAGTGCAACTCAGATTGAACTTACCCTAGCGTTCAAGGCTCCAGAGCCTGCTTCCTCTATTCCAAAACCAACCATAGATTTGGATGTCTATTTCGAGGCTTTATCTCAAAAAACTACCCCCCATTGTTTCTGGGGCCTCTGGTAGTGGAGCTGCTACTTCCAGCTAATCCAATGACGTTGAGAGAGCCAAAAATGATTTAAAATCTCTGTTTGTCTTGTTTTTCCAAGACGTTCTGCATCTAGGACGATTTCCAATCCAGACTTTTGCCTTGAAAGTTTTAGCCATTGTCGCTCCTTTCGACTCTGTCATTCAACCAGCCCTCCAGGAATTTCATCATCAAATTCCAAAGCTGAGCCAATCACGCCTTGCTCTTGTTGATAAACAAAAAGAAATCAACGTAAAACTTCAACGATCAACCCGTCTGCAATATCTCATAAAGGAACACATGGAATCCTACAAAAAGTTAAAGGAAGCTACTGATGCCAAGGCACAACAGATCATCCATTTGAAAGATTAGATTGCCATCCTCCATGTTCAACTAGAAGATACAGAGAATGAAGCTGCAATAGCAGAAACTTTACGCCATTTCTTTTCCAGTGAGTGCTAAGTCTTCAAAACTGGATGCCAAACTTCCTAAGCTGGTTAAAACTCGTGCTACCAACCTACTCAAACTGCAAGTTGTGAATGCTCCCTGGAATGTACTTAAGGCCAAATTACACAGCCTTTTGTAATTCCTTTTCATTGCACTTTTGAACTTTTATGCTTAATTTAGGAAACTTGCAATTTATTCAGCTTGCTAAGGTGTTTTTTGCTTAGTCAGTCTGGTTCTAGACCAGGCCGTTTGTGAACATTCCTATACATGTTTAACTTTTTTCGGCCTATTCAGGATATTTTTGATTTGATGAATTCATAGGATTTTGCTTTGTTGACTCCATCATTTCCCACATTGTTGAGTAAAATTTCTTGAAGTACTTGCCATTTATTGGATGCTTATGTAGTTCCCCATCTAAGTCTTGCAATTAATAGGAACCTCCCTTGCAAATTCTAAAAACTTGGAATGGGCCCTTCCAACATGGAGACCACTTCCCAAACTTAGGATATTTTGCACCAAATGGCTAAATTACTTTCTAGACTAAGTCATATTCTGCAAAACTCTTTTTCTTTTTTTTATTCTTCGATCATAAGCTCTGGGCACTCTCTATTTTTGTACTAAAAGTTGATCTAGAGCTGCCAATCTTACTTCATCAAGATCTGCAAGTTCATGAACATAGCCAAATTGTATTTTGCAGGAATTAAGCCATTCTGAAATGCAACCCTTAAGGATTTCACAATAACTTCTATAAGCAGGACTGCATCATGCCCAGAAGTGAGTATAAATGACGTAATTCCTGTTGCTGTTCTCTTTGAAGTTCTGTAGGCTCACAATACTTCTGACAAGAATTCATGCCAAATCTTAGGTTTGTCTTCAATCATTCTTTCAATGATGCCTTTTAAAACTTTGTTTGTTGATTCTGCCTAGCCATTGCCTTGAGCATAATATGGAGTAGAACGAGATAGTTATATACCATATTCTCTGGCAAAGGTATGGACTTCCTCACCAAAAAAAATTGTTCCCCTATAGGCCACAATGTCCTGGGGCAAGCCGAATCTGTAAATAATGTTCTCTCTGATCATCTTGATGATATCACTTTAATTTACTGATTTCATAGGAATGGCTTCGACCCACTTCATAAAGTAATTTGTAGCCACAACTACAAAGGAATGACCTTTAGAAGAATGAGGAAAAATCTTGCCAATCATATCAAAGGGCCAACCTCTAAGTGACCATAGTTTAACTATGGAATTCATACAAGTTATTGGAGCATGTTGAACAAGACCATGAGCTTGACAAGGTAAACATCCTTGGGCAAATCTAATACAATCTGAAAGGATAGTAGGCCAATAGTATCCATACCTTCTAACTAGCCATCGCATCTTCCTTTCTGCCTAGTGAGCCCCACAAATTCCTTCATATGCTTCAACCATGCCTTTGATTGCCTCTTCTTTAGAAAGGCAATGTAGGAGCAGGTCATCTTTAGGACTTTTCCTATAGAGTTCTCCCTCAACCCAGACATAATGTGTTGTATTCCTTCTAGTCTTTTTGTCTACAGGAAGTTGTGGATGTTTCAGAAATTGGGCTATAGGAAAGTGCCAATCTTCTTCAGAAATCTCTGTCATATTTACTTCTAGGATGGGTTGCTCTCTCCTCTTAATTGAAGGCATCAATCTTTTCTACATAGTGATGTTCTTTTATAGAAACCTTGAGGAATCTTCATTCTGGTTGCAACTTGAGCCATCTCATTGGTTTCATAATTGAATCTTCTAGGAATGTGAGTGAGGCATCATCAAAGTCTTCAAGGAGTTGTTTAGCTTCCATAAAGCAAGGACACAAATCTATATTATGGCATTTATAAATGTCCCCCAAGTGATTAATGACAAGTTATGAATATCCAATCACTTCCACTGTTGAAGCTCCCATTTCCCTCAATATTTCCAAGCTGATTATCAAACCCTCATAGTTGGCCTGATTATTTGAGCATTCAAAGTCAGACTGAAAAGAGAATTGTGTTTTCAATCCTTTGGGAGAAACGATTACCATCCCACACCCATAAATTAAATTAGTTTTAGAAGCATCAAACAACAAAGTCCAAGGAGTGAAACAAGTAAAACAGGAGACCAAGCCGAATCTAGATTCATCGCTGATTTCTAAACAAAGATGATCGGCAAGGAAATCTGCTAGGGTCTGGCCATTCATAGCCTTTTGAGGAATGTACTGAAATAAAAATTCTATTAGGACTAAAGGCCATTTACTAATTCGGCCTCTCATTATGGGCCAAGAAACTAAATACTTAATCAAATCAGTTTTTCACAGTAAGTAAACCAAAATAGAAAGCATGTAGTGCCTCAGTTTTATTACGAAAAAATAAAATAAAAGACATAATTACTCCATAGGACTGCATTTACATTCAACAGGAGTCAAGAGTCTGCTGTGATAATAAACTACTTGTTCCTTCCCACTCTTATTGTCTTGAGCTAGCAAACTCCCAATAGACTTCTCTGAAGCAAAAATGTACAACTTCAGAACTTTATTCTGGACAGGAAGAGTTAAAATAGGAGGTTGTGCTAAGTACCTCTTGATAACTTCAAAAGCATGCTAGTGGTAAGGCTTCCATCTGAACTGTTCTTCATCTTTCAACTTTAGCAACTAAGAGAAAACTTAAACCTTTCCTGCCATATTGGAAATGAAACGTCTAAGGAAGTTAAGTTGTCTCAGAAGTTTCTGCAGTTTCTTTTTTGCAGGTACGAGGCATGGCTTCTTGGATCACATTTGTCTTGTTCTTGTCCACCCCAATTCCTCTCTGATGAACCAGAAATCCCAAGAAATTTCCTACGGTAACACCAAAAGCACACTTCAAAGGATTCATTTTCAAGTCGTATTTCTATAACATTGCCCGAGGGGTAGCAGTGCGCGTTAAACAATTCAGACCCTCAATTTTTTCGATCTAGTCTTATGAGTGCAATGTGAAACATAGATGCGAGTCTAGATTTGGAAAATTTTATAGAAAATCCATTTTATTGCAAAACTATTGCTAGAAATGGACTAAATCACCAGATCTTAGAGTCGCCACCTAATATTTTAGAAAAATTAGGAAACCCGTGACTCGTGCCAAGGCCACTGTTCATTGTAACCAAAGATGCTTGGCTCGGAACCTTAGGTATAAGAGGGGAAGGTCATTAATTGAGCACCCCCGCTCACCCGATCAAAGATCAGCTTCTACTAAATCATGATATGACTGTTATTGACTTTATATGTTCATATTCCGCTTATTAATAAATCCTAAAATTTACTATGTGAAGCATACAAGTATAGACTATGTCATTCGTTTTGGAATAATTTGATTTCATGTGTTTTGAAAGAATTTTGAAGATATACAACCCAACAAAATTGAGTTTACAAACATAAAAAATCAATATCATTCGAAATTAAGCAACACAACTTTCATCCACCGGCATTCATATAGTTATATCAAATACGCAAATAGCCTCATGGTAGAATGCTAAACATACTAAGAAAAGCACACACAAGCAGGATGCTAAAGCATAAAAACTTATATATTTACTGGCATCCCACGAACAGTTACAAAACAAAGTTGGCAAAATATACATGATCTTATACACAAAATCCTAAAGCAATCCACTCATGAAATGAAACTAAAGATTCGGCTTCTAATATATGACATGTGAATCATCTCAAGAACATGAGGTAGCGCACATAATCACATAAGAATTGATTAAACCCACAAATGCAAACTTAGCCAAATCAAGATGCATGATACATGGATGCAAAGTATGGGTATAATTAAATAACAAAATATGATGCTTATGAGCAAATAAGTAAAGCGAGTAAAAGAATGGGATAGAAAAAAGCGGGGCAGGGAATTATTATAACATTTGAAAGAATAACTACAAACCAAATAAGAGAGGGAGAAGGAAAATAATACAAAGAAAAAAAAAACCTCACTAAACACTCAAATGAAAAACAAAATAGAAGCTTCATGCGCCTTGAAGACCACCGGGAATTCGTATGCTCAACACCGGAAGGTTACTCCGTTTTGTCCAATAGAAGTTAACCGACCGATCTATTAGGCCTAGCAAAACATGTCTTGTTGCAACACCGAAAAAAGAACAAATAAGGAATATGTAGGTGGCTCAACTAACCACTACTGGTTAGCTTACAACAAAACTAATATGAAATTAAAGCAAGAAAACAAATATAAGATAGAAAATACTTGAAAATGAATGAAATTAAAAATTCGCCTTCCAAAGAAAGAACGAACTTGTTGATTTCCAAACTTCCTTGTGATCACCCTCAAAGGATGTGAATTATGTTCCCAATCATTCATTCGAAAATTTGGAATTTTAGCTAGAATGACAATTTTGGGTTGTTTAACAGTGTGTGTGGGGAAAGGCTGTGAATACCCAGATTTCATAATTCACTCTAGTTTTCTCACTTTTGACACAAACTGAACACTCTTTAATCAAAGCTACACAAGTTGACTATAAAGGAATTTTTTGGATCAAATAACAGTGTAAAAGGATGATACAATAGTGTAATGAAATTCATAGCTCAACTTCTTAACTTTGAGACCTCGTTTGATCAAAGTATAGACTCTCCTTATCAATCTAGTCCTTCTTTTATCCAAAAAAATAAATAAATAATTGTCCTCCATCAATATTTCAAACCTCCTTATATAGGCACTGCAAGTGGATTGTATCAATGGAGACCATCAAAGGTGGAAGAGAAAGTGGAGCATTAATGTCGTTAATGGATCAAGCACTCCCTTTGCTTTAGCTCTATCTTTTTTGAGGAGTCAAGTTCTTTTGGCACTGGAGCCTGAGTGTATGCATTTGGTGCATGAATATATCAGAAAATAAGATAATGGAATGCCCACACAAACTGAACAACAAAATCTGGACTGCACTATTTGGGGGCGGTAGACCGTCTGGTCGGCCGGCCAGAAAAGAAGTTGGCTATCTTGCTTCAGTTCAGTCCAGCTTCACTCCAGTGCCCAACGGGTCTTAAACACTTGGCCAAAATAGGCTTAGGGTGGAGAGTAAAACTTAAATTCCATATTTCTCATTGAGGATTATGCAACAAACATATTCTAATTTTCATCATTGGGTAATCAAAACAAAGCGTCCAAGTCTTAGGGCTAATCAAAATAGAGTATCTACAGTTACCCCTCTTTGATAGAACTCGAAGTCATTTCATGACGTGAGTGAATGTCAAAGTCTGAAGACGACCTTTTTGGCAAGGCCGTGATACTCGGACAAACAAACAAGATGCTAATCCAGTTGGTTGAACACGAAGGTTACCTACGTATCCCTTTGCAAAGAATCAAACCAGCATAGTTTGGGGGCAAGATGCAAATGATATGCTAATGCAATTCAAAGTTGGACTTACACACTTTGCAAGCCCGTTGTTTTGAAAGTTCATGATCGATGCAATGTAATGCAATTTAGCGATGATAGTGATATGGATGTGGCAACATGAGAAGCAAGCCTCATGAAAATGATATGAAGCATAATAGGGAGTGCATCGCATACAAATGTGCCACAGCATAAATGATAGAGGGAGGTGCATCAAATACAAATATGCTACAACATAAATGATAGAAGGAGGTCATTGCATACAAATGTGCCACAACATAAATGATAAGGGGAAAAGTGAACTCAAAATCCAAACAAGTCTTACATTAGAGGAAGAAATGTGAACTCAAAATCCAAACATGTCTCATGTGAGAGAAGAAATAGTGAATTTGAAATCCAAACATGTCTTACGTGAGAGGAGAAATAGTGGAAATCCAAACATGTCTCACTTCAAGAGGAGAAATAGTGAACCCGAAATCCAAACGCGTCTCACACGAGAGGAGGAATAGTGAACTCGAAATCCAAACGCGTCTCACACGAAAGGAGAAGAGGTGGTATAACCACTAGGCATACCTAACTATATTTCATATGGAGAGGGGGAAGGTTTTAACCAGCTAATGCGTTTCACGCAAAAGGAGGAAAGGTGTACCTAACCGTATCTCATATGGAGAGGGAGAAGGTTTTAACCGAATGAACTGCAAATCCTAACATGTTTCACGTAAAAGGAGAAAATGGTGGTGTAACTAACATGTGTACCTAACCGCATCTCATACGAAGAGAAGGAAGGTTTTAACCAAATAAACTGTAATTCCTAACATGTTTCAAGTGAAAGAATAAAAGGTGGTATAACCAACAGGCATACCTAACCATATATCATATAGAGAGGGGGAAGGTTTTAACTGTGTAAAGGAGAAAAGGGATCTTAACTAACAAGCGAGACCTAGACCATACCTCAATACAAAATAGGGAATAGGGAATGGTTTCAATCAGGTAAAGGAGAAAAGGGTTGTAACCAGAAATTGGGACAATTGTAGTCAAGTGATTTGAATGGACTGTAACCATGCATGACAAATGTAATAGACAGTACAAGCTTAGTGTGGTGGTGAATGAAAAAACACAAATGGGCAAACAATATGCAATCATAGATGCACAACAATAATATAATGAATGCACAACAAATAAATACACAAATGATTTTTTTTTTTTTCAAAATTTTCTTCTTTTTTTTTTTTTTTTTTTCTAAATTTTTTTTTGAATTTTTTTTGCTTTTCAAAATTTCTTTTTCTTTTTATTTTTTTCCTTCTCAAAATTTTTTTATTTTTTTCGATTTTTGTATATTTTCTTTTGAATTTGAAAATTTTATATTTTTTTACATACCATATATATACATATAGATACAAACGATATACAAAATACGTATTACATACATATATATATACAAACAGACAAACTATATACATATACAAATACACATAAATACATATATATATATATATATATATATACGGACACATGCAGACATATGGATACATATACGATATATACATACGGGCACATACAAATACATATACGATATACACACAGATATATACATACAAAATATATATACATATATACACTCTCCTCATGTTTTGTTTCTCTCTCTCTCTCTCCATTTGTCTTCGTCGAGCACCATGGCTGGCGCACAATTTCAACAATCACGATGCTCTTGATTGACAGTAGTTAGACCGGCCTCGATTGTCAAAGATTGCCACGACAATCCTTCTTTCTTAGCTTCTTCTTCTCTTCCAACTTCTTCTTAAACTGAGGCCTATGAAAGAGATGGAGCAAAAAGTTGCAAACTCCCCCTACCATTACTCTACAAATTTTTCCTTTGGCATTATACTCCTTCTGGCATGGCCTCTTCTCGCCATCCCCTCACCCTCTCTTCCCTAACCTTAACGATTCCCCAACTGAGATTACCAGCTCCTCTGAGCCTCGATCGAGCTCCCTATCTCTACCCCTATTCTCAACTTTCCTACATTATCAGTCGAGTAATTGATGACAGCACAATCTGACATTGATGCCAACCATTACACATTAAAGTCCTGTGTGGAGACTGTGATCGCGGTCTTCAATTTGTCCCATCGGCTGTAGGGTAGGACAAGTGAAGTACATTGATTAAAAGTACAACTCTCTCTACTTTAAAGTATGTACAAAGATGCTCGAACAGATATTAGTAATCTGAAAAAGCAAAACAATGAACTGAAATGACAGGTGACCTCTGCGGCCCGATTCGGAGCTCCTTGGTGCTTTGCATTTGATGGTCGATGTGGAGTAATCTCTTTTAGGAGATCTATAAATGTTGAAACAGAGTCCTCAAGGGCTTTCCGAGAGTAATGTTGTGGTGAGACAACTAACGATAGAGTCGAGCGGCGAAGTTGTCTGTAAATGAAGTCAATTTATAATCTTCGCCGCTAGGCCATTGCCAGAATCCTAGAAAATTTCTCAATCTCTCATTTTTTTTATTTTTTCCTATATTTTGGCTTGGGAGTGGGCACTTATAGCTTCAACTCTCTTTTGTATCACTTTGATCGGGGTTTGATCCCTAACATTTAATAAAAAGAGTTTTGTTTTGCAAATTCGAATAGCATGAATGGCACAACACTTGAGCATGAAAACATTTTT